TTGAACTTTTGGTTTGGAACCCAAGTGTTAAGGTGCTGGCAATGTAGGTCTAATGCATGCACTCTTTTAAGCGACCTGCAATCAGAAAATGTATGTGATGCAAGCTTCCAACAGTTATACTGTGTCAAATGCTCCCACTTGCTTGGGGAAAGGTAGCACATCAGGAAGAACCCCGACTTCTTCCTTACTTGCTAGTTTTCTGCATGCAGAGATTTTTTCATTTGTTTAAACCTAGAAGATCATTCTATCACATGGCAAGCCATTTGCATTCTTAAGCAGTAGCATCTCAGGAGAACTGAACTAAAGTAGGAATGTCTATATTAACTCTTCTTCATACAGGACATCTATCAGGACTTTCTGATATTCCCAGTGGAATTACATGCCAGTGGCTGCCTGAAATCCTTTGTCACCCCATTGGTTTTCCCTGGCAGTGAATGATAAAATCCAACTCCACATGTGCACTGCTAAATAATCTAGCTGAGCAATTCAGTACATGAGGGTGCCAGAAGAGATTACTGGCAATGTTTTGATGACCCATCTGCCAAAATTACTAACCTATTTGGAAGTAACTTCTCATCAATGATTGTCACTGTGGGAGAGCAGACCAATGTTTTAAAGAGATGTCTAGTGGCAAGAAAATTTCCTGTATATGATAAACCTCAACCATCATTTATGAAATGCATTTAACCTAAAGAGGGGTATATATGAGGAAGAAAATGTACTTAGCTCATTGAAACAGTTGTTTGTCCAATAACAGTTTGGCAACGCACTTACTAAACATTCTCATGTTATTTAGCAACAAATACACACATGTGCAGCATTATGCCAGCACTGTTTTTTGTAAAAACAAAGACATTCATGCTGCTGTGTCAAAGATATATGAATCCTGTAATGAATGCCCTGAAGACCAGTTGTAGGGTTTGACTGATGGCCTAAAATTCAGTGATGCAGCCTCATGTGGGTAAACAGGACCTTCCAAATGTGAAAAGAGGGTAAGAGAAACCCACAGAGACATTGGCTGTCTCACAGTTTGGGGCACACGCAATGCTTTCCCTTCAAGAAAACATCTCAAGTGTGCATCCAAAATGCTGTATGTGAAGGAATTCTCAGACTCAATTTGCTTTTTATAAAACCTGACTACAAACACCCAAACTACGAGTGGGTTTATATTATCAGTGTTAATTCTGTGGTTGGTTCCACCACACAGTACATCTGTGGTTGGTTCCACCCCACTGCTAGGAATACATAAGGCGTCTGCCTGTAAAATTTGGTTGTACTGACAGGTTTATATGGACACAGTTGTATGATAAGGTGGGAGGTCTGTGGAGTGGAATTATCTCCTGCCTCCTTTGGTTGGATTCCAAATATCAGGAGTCTCTAGGGATGCCTGTGTGCAATGGGTATCTTGGCTGCTAGATTGGGGTGGGTAATTTTGCATGCCACATGCATTTGCTTTTAGTGTTCCCCTTCTACCTAAGGATATTTGAACTAATGCCTTTTTCCATGACCACATGGGCCTGAGCTGGATTGGAGCATTTTGCAGTTGCTCTATATACTTTTGGCACATGTAATTTGATGAGTACTATGTGATTTGGTCTCCTAGGACTGTGTACAACTGTGCAAAATGCACTTCTATTCCATCATCTTGTTACTTTAATGGACAATTTCTGTAACACCTAGTACTACTGGCTAAGAATTTTAAAAATATATTTACTGAAAAAAGATTAAAAACAACCTAGTCTTCCCAGCTAATCACACTAGCTGCTATGAGAAAAATATATATTTCCTGAGAATTTGCAAATATAGAACCTGTCATGAAGGGCCTGAACATTGACATGACTGACAGAGTACTAGAGTAAGTGTGTGAACATTATTTTGAATTTTGGAGTTTTAGTGTAATTGAATTTTAGGCTATTCAAAGTTGATCTACTTCAAAGCAATGGAATTATGAGCATGTTGTTCCATGAAAAATGGAAGAGATTTCTTGATTTGTTTGAAATTGGTATCTTTGGTAGCAGTGTATGGTAATGTAGAAATCAAAGGAACTTCCCTTCTACATGCTGGCTGGGATCTGAAGAATTTGATATGTACCCATGATGGTGAAGTACATACACATGTCAATCCTGTTATTTTCAGTGCAGCAGTTCTTACAGCTGAATGAACAAGCCATACCTTCATCTAAACTTAGAACCCTATCTACCCTTAGGAACTGTTGCATAAAAACAATGAATGAGACACTGGCCACTAAAGTAGTAGTTCTACTAATACAGTTCTGTCCCACCCCACCATTACTTGCATGCCAAGTTCTCTGAGCCCTGGCTGTAGTGTTAAACTTTGTTATCCAAGTGACAGGATACCTGACAAAAAACTAACAAACAGGTCATCAAAGAGTACTCTGAAAAACTAGTGTGGGCAACTGAAGGCATGTCAAGGATAATTATTGGGGAAATAAAGATTTAACCCACAGTATATAGGACCTTAGATGGATTTGATAAAATGGACTGTTATCCATGAAATATTATGCCATAATAAATGTGTTAGTCTTTAAGGTGCCATTAAGACCCTTTGTTGTTCTTCTAAATTAGGTCCTGGGGAAAATAAGTACTATATTATTTAAGTACCTCAGAAGGCCAGTGAAGATAAAACAGGGGAAATAGCACTGAGTATTATGTCATACATATTGAGCATGGTGTATGAAATCTAGTTACACAGAAATCAGTCAACAGGACTTTGGACTTCATTCAGTGTACCTAGGATTTTACATGAGGATGGAAATGACGATGCTGAGTGAAATTTAGTTACATGGAATGCATGAGAGAGTTTGCCATTTAATTCAATATAACTAGAATTTCAGCCAATGATGGAAATGAAGATGTAAAAACAAGAAAATGAAACTTTCAATTTTTCTTAATCCAAGAAGCATCTTGATGGGAATGTCTCAATTGGCTGTATTACCAATTAATAGAGTCAATTGCATTGCTGTAGCTATCAGTGGTGTACAATTTGTTGAAGACCCCACAATCATAGCAATGATTGTCATGGCATCTAGAACCTAGCTGCTTTCTTGCAAAGAGTATTCTCCTATATAAACAGCAACAGTTTATAGAATCTGGATTGGAGATCCAGATGTAGACCCTAGTTTGCCAGTTGCACATTCTTAGCTTAGTTTTTAAATCAAAGCCTTAAGTGAAATGACGTTTAGACCCAGCAATGCATTTCCACAATATGCATCCCAGAACAATTTCATGAAGCATTCTGGTTGCATGAAACACTTTTCAAAGCCATATGGTTCTACAAGCATCATCACACTCAGGGGGCATAAGTGATTGCCAGAGGAAGTTCTCTTCCCTGAAGGATCCCAGTCCAAATTTTACCCAGGTGTGAAGAACTCTTTGGTACCTTCCCTAGTCTGCCCGCCACCACTGGCTGAGTCTGCATTCATGCAGCAGTATCTGTGGGGAACAGTGTAAAGGCAGCCCTTTTGCCCACCAGTAATAAAAGCCAGAAGCCTCAAAGCTGGTCTGAATATAACATGTTTACCATGGATTGGAAAAATGCACAGGTGCAGGGGTCTTCACTGTATGTACGTGTGCCTGTATGTCACTTCCTTCTGATCATATACTGTAAATCATATCTTAGAGACTGTGATCAAGCATAGAAGAATAGGTTGTATTCTGTGCCTAAGCTGTTCATAAACATTGTGGCAGCACAATTTGCTTTGGACTAAAGGACCTATGCAATAACAAGCTTTGGCTTAATTCAAAGACCCGCTTTGGTTGCAGATAAACATGTAATGATGGGCAGTTTCAACAGTACATTCAGATAGCACATTACAAAATGTGAGGTAACACTGGCCGTAAAAGAGGGTGTGCTACAGTGATAGTGCCAGGCTTTCTGTAAATGCTAAGAGTTCTAAATGCTAATAAAAGTGGAGAGAGAGAATGGTTTTTTCCTGGAACATTTAAGATGGAATGGTAGAACCGTTGCTATCTGTGAAGTGCATGCTCATGTCCCTACAGAGTTTCTTTTGGAAAGAGGTGTTTGTTTGCTGTGCCTTATCAAGAACCTTTCTGATCAGAAATGACACTGGGATGAAAGAACTGACTGGGCACATCATGGGCACCTATGATTCCATCATGTCACCCTCACTTCTCCTTTTAACTACAGCCATATCTAAGCTGGCGTTTGACTGTGTCCTTTGAAGACAGGCAGCTATGTTTATATCAACTTTGGTCCCGAGCCAGACGAACCAAGGCTGTGATCTTACACACACACACTGCCCTGGGACTAAGCCTGACTGAACATAGTTGGGCTTACAAGTAAACATGCATAGAGTTGTGCTCTTGACCTGTTGTAGTTCTACTGAAATTAAGGGCATGAGCTAGTCCTATTGATTTCAGTGGAAACATGACCCACTTGCCATGGATTGGGGCAATTAGCTTTTAAAACACAATCTTGGAAGGAAAGGCTGTTGGTTATTACCTGTAACAATTTAGTACCAACATTTCTTATTTATAGATATCCAAGTTTATAATCAATATCATCATCTAAAACATCTATAATGCTTCAAGTGCAAATCCATTTTTCAGAAATGAATTAAAAAAACCTTTTGAGCCAAGTGATCCCTAGCTACCAAAATTCTGGATAAACAGAATTCTGAAAATGCGTGTTTATTTGTATTATAGTTTTCAAGATGATGCAATGAGTGATCCACATGTTCAAGACAAATGTGATGAAGAGAAAATGAACATGCACATATATTTCCATTTTATACAATGTGTAATGGTTGATGTGGGCTCATGTAACAGACCAAAAATAGACTTTTTGTAATTTAAAATGGGGCAAAAAGCATGATCCTAAATCTGTTATCTCAACATTAATAAGCAAACATATTTGCCTAAATGAAAGAGAAAGTGCTGACTTAGCAGTATCGACTTTACACAAAGCCAAGTATGTGAAAGGGAATCTTTTGAGAAAAAAAAACTTTATTTGAGAAAGGAATATATAGACTTGTATCAGGAGGCAAAATAGGGAACATACAAACAGAATATATTTACAACACAAAACAAGAGATCACCAAAAGTGTAAATTATAATAAATACAGTAGATTTAAAATGTGACAGCAATTAGAAATATGGTTGCTTAAACCCAGTTTTTCTTTTTCACTGGTTCCAGGTAACTTTTCTCTTAAAGATTTGAGTGGCCTGAAAGTCTACTATACTGGGGTAACTCTGCTCAACTGTGTTACAAAAATATCTTTATAGTTACACATGTTTTTGAAACATTAATGTACAAAAGTTCATTTGTATTCAGATTCCTGCCCAAATAAAATGCATTTTAAAAAGATGCACTATCCCTTTTTGAGTGTGCTAAAATTAGAATATACGGGGCAGTAGGGATATGCAAGATGTAAGCCTACTTCCCTGCTATATCTGCTTTATGGCTCTAAATATCAGTTCCTCTACTTTTCTTCAAGCAACAATAACCTCAACAGTGGCATTAAAGCTCTAAAACCTCACAGTCAGCTTTTACACATCTAATAAAGCTGAATATTTTAGGTGGCCTCTGTTAAACACTGCATTCTGTTCCTAAGTATCGGTACTTTGGAGTGTGTTTGAATGCTGGCTTTCTGCTTCTGGTTTGTCAACAGAGCATGACCTAGAACTATGAAATGTCAGCACTGTTCTCTAGACTCACAGGAATTGTGGAAAACCAGTGGTGCAGACTGTTAAGAACCCAGGTGAAATACCAGCTGAGGGAAAATGCTGAGAACTTTTCCCCATTTCCCCAAATGCGGGTGAACAGTGTCAAGCCATTCTGATACACTAGACATTTTGAATGCTTCACATATCACAATTTCTTTCTCTGTGCAAGAAAGAAACATGGACATCATCACACATGAATAGACATGTGTTTATTTTGTGTATATGTGATGGGTCTATACATGAGGGATGGGCAACTTAAGGCCCTCCGGTTGTTTTAGTCTACAACTTCTATCAGTCCTTGTCAGTGGTCACACTGATAGGAGTTAAAGACTAAAGCATCTGGAGGCCACAACTTGCCCATCCTGGTGTACATGATGGAAAAGTGCAATGGGCCAGAGTTTTTATCACATGTATACAGATGAAGTGTATGCAAGTCATTCTACAATGAAGGGATATATATGTAGGGAACTGGTCAAGTATGGAGCAAACTTGATTTGCTGGTACAAGCAACTGTTTTTTTTTCCAAGTAGTTTTTCAAGAGGAAGGATAATGTATCTTCAGAAACTTCAACATTTTATAAGGGATTCTAGAGAATAAGATAAAAATGTAAACACCACATGCTTATATTAGAACTTTTCCATTTGGCAAAACAGCTCTCCCTTTTGAAAAGGATACTGCACCTTAAAATACCTTAGAAATATAAATATTGTGATAGGAAAAAAGAAAAAAATTACAAGGATTTCAGGTCAGTTTTGGATTAGCCATATTAAAAGGGTCTTAGTACAATTAATCTTTTGCTTAACAAAAGTAAACCTCTACAAGAAAGTAAACATATCAAAAGGGAATATAAAGGAAATGTTTCAGTGGAAAGCTTCCTTAACAATTTCTCTCCTTGCTTTGTTATTTTCTCTGACAATAAATCAATTCACAGAGTAGCCTTCAGAAAACAGAGAATAAAACACTATCCTCTTTTTCCCTTTGCCCCCCTTTTACATTCCATGTGCATGAATCACTTGGACTTCCTGTTTCCATAAGGCATTTCCTGTCCACCTTCACACAATTACTTTTCTTCAGGAGAACAGCAGGGACCTGACACAGCAATGACTTAAGTAAACGGCAGCTTCTACTGCATACCCATCTGTTCTGATTTTAGGGTATTTGAAGGAAATATGATCCTTCTGGAGGCACAGCTACATACAACTCCATGCATGTGCTATTAAATATTTAAATCTTATTGAAAATTATTTGCCAACCTGGTCTCCATTTTTCAGTCTTGGGCAACCTCCCCAGAGAAATCAGGCCTAAACATTCTCCTGTCCTCAGCACACAGAGCAGTTGCATTGGCCATTCTGTACCATCATGTGATCCACATTTCAGCAGCCAGATTCTGGATAAGCCAAGTATACCAAGGCTACCAATATTCCAAAATAGTCTCAGTGGCTCTGATGCAGGTACTCTGGAATGAATGGCTTGTTGCCCTTTCAAATAAAAGAGGGGCATACTGGAAAATCTTGGCCCCAATACAGATGCTAGAAACATTCATAAATGTGTCTCCGTCACTGTTATTAGCACAACCATGTAAATCTGTGTACTAGATGGTGTGCTATTGTGTCATTGAGTTTTTATTGAACAAATAAACTGATGAGAAAAGACCAAACCCATGTTTTTAATTTGGTTTCTTGCCGCCACCATCCCAATACAACTATAGCTATATCATGCATGTGGCTGGCGTACAATGTTGCACCAATACGCTTTAATGAAATTGATACTGATAGTGATGAAAGAAGATGGGGCAAATAATTAATGAATACAGAAGGGACGAAAATCAACAACATTTTAAAAAAGTGCACTCCAAGTCTAATTTCATCTACCCTCCACCTTATTTCCTTCAAGCTATATTCAATATTCAACTTTCTGACCACTGATATTTGGGGCACTGACAGTACCTGTCTAACAAGATTGGGGGTGAATCCCCTTCTTCATAACAGTGTGTAGGACTACAGTATAGTATATTATATACAAATGGATGGGAGTGTACATAGAAAGATGTCAAAAGTTTAGAAATGGAGAGAGTGAGAGCAATTCTTAGGTCTGATCCACAATAGCTGATCTCCACAAAAAGTTGATATAACATTGAGTTCCATCTCACTAGAACTAGTGTGGCAGAATTCATTAGTGCTAATACGAATTCTATTAATAACCCAAAGGCTTACACAGCAACGAGGGTTCCTCAATTTAACAAGCACTTTCTCACTATGCTTAAGGTGTGAACACATCTGCTGTTGTTAGATTTGCTGAATGCTAAAATCACGCAATTCCACTGAACTCTGCAGATGGAAATAAAAATTGTTTATCAAGGATTTAAAAATGCTTATTAGAATAGTACTCAGATAATCACTTTAATTACAAAGCCTGGAGCTAAATCTTTGCCTATTACCTGTTGCACAAAAGCAGCTTTCTCCCCAGATTCCATGTGCTGAGTCTGAATATCATCATCATTGTCTTGTGGTTCCTCTTTCACCTTCACAGCCCCCAATGGCTGCCCCAGTCCGCTGTCCAAAGGAACACTACTGCTGTCATCTCTAATGCTGCTACCAACAGAGGGAGCCCTCTCTTCCTGCATTGAATGATCTCCATGAAGTTCTTCTTCAGCTTCTTCCAGACCTCCAGGTTGCTTTAGCTGTTCAATAGATTTAGAAAGCATCTGAAACAGAGAAACAGGAATGAAATAGTTACTTGGCAAAATTATTTTCAAAGGCCATCAAGGCATGAAAACATGGATTCTTTTATTGGTTGTAGCTGTATTTCCATTTTCTAAATGTTAATTGCATTTAAAATCTACTAGATTCATTATAAATAACTAGGAAATTTATTAAAAGTTACCAAAGACTGTAATGCAGGACCACAGATGCTTGCAAATTATGCTCATTTAACATTAAGCACATGCAGTTTTCCTCGCGCTGTTATGAGCATATTTTTGTGTCTATATGTGCTCTTTCCTCTTGTTTGTAAAGAAATAAAAGGCATGTGCTTAAATTAGTCATTAAATTAAGTAATCTATTTTATAAATCCCCTGAATAGCTATGTATTCTTGTCTTTCTGCAGCCAAGTGTACTGCTATATGGAATCATGTGAAATTATTAACCAAAGTATTGCAGAACATAAATAAGAATATTTATATGCAACTACATCTGAGAAGAGAAAAGGAACATTATTATCTTGACTATGTTAACTAATTTAATATTCAAATCCTACCTGGTTAATTGCCTCCCAGTCAATACTATGCCTGCCATTGTATCAACTTTCCATAAACATTTATTGGATTCGCCAGAATTTTTTTGGGGGGGGGAGTTCACTGTAATTTCTCCTGCAGAAGCAAAATGGTTCTGACTTTTCCTTGTTCTATTATTGTCTTACCCAACCTCAAAACAAAACTGATGCAATGGTGGATATCTTGAGTGTTTTTCTGTAGGGCTAAGTATAAGGTTTGTGAGTGACTGTTGAATGAAGTATATACAAGACTGCTATCTTTAAAAGAGTGATGAAGATTTCATTTAGGACCCCAAATTTTTAAACCTTCTATGAAGAGTGTCATACTTAGCTAAGAACAGATTATCAATCTCCTTGAGAACTGATTGTTACGAGAAAAGTCAGGATAGGATCACCCTTTCTACCTGGACATTAGATGTTACTTATTCATTCATTTATATTGAATAGCCAAGGTGCTATACGCTATCAGAAGCTTACCATGACAACAACCTTTTTTTTTAAACAGAAAAGCAAATCACAGAGGAGCAATCACACTCCAAGAACCAAAGAACACACACCATTGCCCTCATCATCACCAAAACATATATATCACTTTTTTCCCACTTGGTGAATTCAAGAGGGCTTCCAAGATTTGCCAAACAGTCCTATAAACACGCTAATGTCTGCAAATTAAAACTATGTTTTGTAAATACTACCATTAAGGAACACTTCCAGCTTTAACCCTACTCAAAGAGCCATGCTTTATCTAAAAGCTGAAAAAGCACTGTGTTGGGACCTGACAGATCTTTCTCATGAAGGGCATTCTGTAAGGTGGAACCCAACGCAGAAAAAAGCCCTGTTTGTAATTGTTGCCTGTTGTACTGAGATGACTGAGGAACTTGAGGCCAGTCCTCATATGCTGAGTGGAACATGTTGAGAGAAATAAATGAAAAGAGGAGGCCCTTAAAGGATCCAAGTCCATGATAGTTTAAGACTGAAGACTGAAGCCAACAGGCTGACCCGAGTCTAGAAACAAACCAGCAAGTAACAAAAATCAAGCAGAATAAGTACAATATGTTCTTATGGTCTAGCCCTGTCAACAACCTTGTTGGTGGTGGCACTTTGCACTAGCCAAATTTTCTAAATCTTTTCCTACTCACTGTTCAGCCCTCAGTCATTCCCCACTCCCATCCCATGGCCTTCCAAATACATGTTTGGAACAATGCTACTAAGCAGTATGACTTGCAGCAAAGAAAAGTAAATTCTCCAAATGCCTCTTCTGATTTTTGGGGGAAGCTGTCTGTTTCAGTTTAAACAAAAACAAAAGAGGAACACTGAATATTGCATCTAATTTGTTTGACAATGCTGTATTTTTCCTGGTGAGATCGATGCTTCTGGGTTGTATCCTTGTAAGTGACAGTCGCTAAAGGTACAATAGCATTTTGGAACAACCAGCATTACATACAACAACAGCAGAGATGCACAAGATCCAGTGTCAGGATCCAAACACCCACATATATGGACTCCTTGTTTATAAGTGCCATTGATTCAAGGCAGCTCCATCCCCTGAGCTACACGCTAACTGTCCAAGCCCTAAATCAAAGCCTTCACTGCAGGAAATGGTAATCAAAACATCATAGAATGTTTTCTACTATTAAGATGTCTTTTTCCTATTCAGAAGTATAGACATAAAATCATTATATGGACCTAATAAATTACAGGAACATTATATGTTCCTAATTTCGCCTTGGCTTTTGTCTAACAACCAAAATCAGTCCTCTGTTTGTCATTATTTTTGTTGCTGCCACAGGAAGGAATCAGCTGCCAGTGTTAGAAGGATGATCCAAAAACAGCTCTCCATTTTTCTATCAGATTATTATAATTTCTATCATCATATGATTCTTCTCTTTGCTATACTATTATTATGTGGCCTGAGAGCCTTCTTTTGAGAACCAAGCCAGGCTACTAAGTCTTTCCCAAAGAATTTCATTTTGGATGTGTATGCAACCTTATTTTATTCTTTGCTAAGATTGTACCAATACAATAGCAACAAACTGTCAATGGACTTTTACTCTTAGTAATGTGGAAGATTACTACATGATGATTATTATGTCCATAGTATTATTTCTGAGTAGAGCAGTTTTGGTCTTGGAGTGAAAATTAAAATAAATCTATACCACATAAAATTAGCTGAGCATGCTACAACTCTTGGTACATTGAACAAGTCCTTATAGCTATGAAACAGCAGCTATCAAATGCAATGTCTAAATGTGTTCCAAATTCTGCAAGGCTGGTAAATTATTTTTTAAGAATTGGTAATGGAAGCAAATTCATCCACACATCACAAGCAAAACTGACAACAGAGTTTATATTCACTCCAGGCAGTCTAAGAATTTATGAGGAAGGCAAGGAGTCCATTAAAATCACTTTCGTCTCTTCTATGAGGTTTCACCAGATTTGTCTGATTTTTTTCTAAACCTAGACCAGTGTAGAGCAGACTTGATCATAACAAAAATCTTTATCACAATTTTAGTTCCCAATAATTATAACAGCTAAAAAGATGGTTATATAACATTATTTGTTTTCTTTCAAAGAATGGTTAGTTGATTATTCTGTTGCACAAAAGATTTTTTAAACTGACAATGGTTATGGTTGTCATCCATACACATTCTCAGAATGCTACTGAATGGACACATTCACATTACACCTGACAATATCTCAGTGTAAAATCATCTGCATGTTTATAAATTATGGCTACCTGGAATTGGAAAATATATGGCATTTTCAGTAGGCTGAAGCACTAGTTCACTCTCTGTTGTGAAGTAGCAAGGTGGTTTGATCATTAGTTCATTAGCTACTTCTTTAGGTACAACGAGCACTTGAAATATCTTCATTCTGGATGGGATTATTGGTAGAGATAACACTTCTAAGACATTTAATGATTATGTGATTCAGTACACAATAAGGATCTAGACAATATCCCTGTGTTGCTTCTAAAACTTATGTGGATGACCAAGCTTGTGCAGAAACTATCTACTTATCTACATATTGGACAAGATACTCTAACTTTTGAAACATCTGTTGCTGAGCCACCAGGAATGGCCGGCTGCTGACTGGCTAACTGAAAAATACAAACTCAACATCTGGCTAACAGATAACCATCTACAGCTACATGAGTCACGGATGCTGGACCATCTGTAAAGCATTCCATGTGCCAGTTGCTCAGCATCAGGTGGGTTACTCTTAAAAAGATTCCAAGAGAGAATGAGATCCAGACTACAGCTCAGTTAGGAAACATTTATTTCCTCACCATACTCCTTCTGCATGCTTTCAAGTTCAAAGTGGGGATCTCGTTCTCTTTTGTGATACATTATAGCACTATCCTTGCAGACCTGATAAGGCAGATGTTGTAACCTTCGTGTGACATTTGCAGTAGTTCACATAAAGAACTCACTTACAGCAGTATTAGCATGACCATACTAAATGAATTCCAAAGTTTTCTTGTAAACCTTTATAAAACCAAATGTATGCAGACAGGTGGATTTATTCAAAAGACAAACAAAAACAGGTCAGTATTAATGACCCTGTTTCACAAAACAACATGATTTTCTCAAGCTCTTACTGTCATGCAGCAGTGATGAAATCCTGATGATAGTTAAAATATGCTAAGTTGAATTTTATAAACAACGCTTTAACTTAATCAAACTTAACCAAGTATTTTTTTTTCCATGCAGATGTCACAGAATGCTTCTAGCTCCAGATATGAACTTCAGAGGGAAGAATATATATGGTGGTGGTGGAAAAAAAGGACTGGAGATCTGTCCTACTTGTACACATTGCGGGGAGAATGGGAATTGTGGTGCATTTATATTGTCTCCAAGCAGCCGAAAGGAACAGTGAAACTGGCAGTCTCTGTGGATTCAAAGTCAGCACAAGAGAAAACACTGGAAAGACCTATCAGAACAAGGGCTGTGTTTTACCCAAGGGGCAAACTGACCCCTCAGGATGACACAGGATGGAGTGGCATATCTCTTGGCAAGAAGTCAAATGTCTGCAGGGGAGATAAACTGGGCTTGGAGGAACTTCAATAGAACAAGACTGTGATGTTGCAATGGAAAGCTCAATGACTTGGTACAGAGGGGCAAAGGAACAAAAAAGTGGATTTCTCTGGTAATGTAATCTAACCAGAAGAAAGATGACAAGAAACTTAGAACATCAAAGAAGCAGCGACAACTTCTAGTAGCTTTTTGCGCAAAAGTTACAAAACCAAAATAAGTTGGGGGAGGTACGGTTAGAAGAGAAAATTGCCTTGGACAGATGGTGACCTTGCGGATGAGAGGTTATGGAGAGGAGATGACAGTAATTCTTCCAGCCTACAACACTGGCTGTACAAGTCCCAAATGCCTATATCCCTGTTCCAATACTTTCAGCATGCTGGCCACACCTTGCATAGTT